CCCTTGGGGGGCAGAGCTGGATCCTCCAACCTTGGGGACCCCCCTGGGGGCCAGAACTGGATCCTCTGACCCTAGGGACCCCCCCCGGCCCTGGGGACCCCCTGGGGGGCAAAGCTGGATTCCTCCTCCCCAGCCTGACCCTGGGGACCCCCCTGCTCTAGGGACCGCCCTGTGGGCCAGAACTGGATCCCCCGACTCTAGGGACCCCCCCCCGGCCCCGGGGACCCCCCTCCTCAGCCTGACCCCAGGGACCCCCCTGCTCTGGGAACCCCCTGGGGGCCAGAACTGGGTCCCCCGACCCTAGGGACCCCCCCCAGCCCTGGGGACCCTCCTGGGTCCCTCTCCTTCCTGGGGCCCCACGGAGCAGCCAGAGGCCCCCCCGGATGCCCCGGGCTCCCCCCCAGCAGCCCCCGGCCCCGCAGGGAGCTCGGCCCACGCGACACCGTCACAGCAACGTTTAATCACGGGGCCCGACGCCCCGGGAGGCGCCGCTCTACTCCGGGGCGGCCGCGCGCGGCTCTGCAGCCTCCTCCCCGCTTTCCCCCGTCCCCGGCTCTTCCTTTTCGCCCTCGCTCCTCTCGCTCTCCTCGTTTGCTTGTTCGTTTCCTTCATCGCCGTTCTCGGGCTCCTCGTCCTCGTTCTCGTCCTCTTGCCTCTCGTTGCTCTGGGTCTCTATGCTGAGCTCGCTGCCCTCGCTTCCCTCCCTCTCCATGGTCCTCTTGGAGCTCTCTTCTGTGTTTTCGCTGCTGTAGTCGTCATCTGGGGGGCAGGAAAGTGATTTTAAACCAAAGTGCAGCCCTCAGCACTCTCTAGGGCACAAAAGAGAACTCCCGTCTCCCTCCCCGCAGGCAGAAAACTCTATTTTCTGTCTTGCAAGACTCCTTTTACTGATGCTGGACGAGGTGGAGCTGCACGGCCTCATGTGAGCAGAAGCCGGGTACTGGCAGGTACCAGTCTGGAACCATCAAGGGTGACAAAGGGAGCACGAGGTAAAGCCCAGGGGTGGAGGTGGCCGAGGGACGCGCTGCCCCGGGGCTCAGGAGGGAGCTCCCTGCCCCTGCAGCGCACGCGGATGCGGGTGCAGGAGCCGGAGCAGGTCCCACGGTGCAGACTTTGCGCCCCGCGGGCACCAAGAGGAACCTTGGGCAGTGCTGCCACCTCCTGCTCACAACTGGCAGAGCCTGGGACCCATCAGCGCTTTTTCCACGTCTCCTTCCTGTGCCCCAGGAGAGGGAAGGGGGGATGTTTAAACTTGCGTGTGCAGAGCTCCACTAACAACTACCTTTGGGAGAAGCGGATGTCATCTCTGCTGCTTTCAGATCTTTGATGAAGCTTTTGCTCACGTCATTTAAGGCCTGAAAGGGTTCATTAAAAAGGGCTTTAGAAATGCAGTTACAAATCTGAGCTTGTTGTCTTTTGATTTCTGTTAGCAACTGAATGCAGAGGAGACTCCACCCCACCGTATTCTGACAGTGAAACCCTTGCCCCAGGAAGGTGAAAAGAAAATTTTCCCTTGGCCCAAACAGTGCCAGGACTTCACCATGCCCAACCAATGTTGCATTCACAAACAGGGATTATATTTTCCAAGGCAGAAAGCTTCGTATCTTTTGCTATACAAACTACTTTAGAGATTGTATCCTCCCCCTGTAACTACTGGAAATGGTTACAGGTAACTTATTGAAGCTTCCCCCTCTTATTGAAGCTTCTCTCCTCTTTGCAACGTGCCACTTACAATAATGATGGCCTGTTGAGCATCATCGTTGTGGATGAGCTTTGCCTTCTCAAGTGCTTTTTCAAAGTTGATGATTGCAGCCTGGTAATCCTTTAATTTTACTGTAAGAAAAAAACAAAACATCTCTTTTAACCCAAGATCACAAATGAGGGAAAAACAACAGGTCAGTTAAGCAAATCTACCATGAAAAGTTTTATCTGAACGGTTAAATGGGTTGTTCTCATTAAGATGGTGAGCAGAGAGGTTGTCTCCATCCGTAAGGTGGAATTCGTACTAACACCTCTACCTTGTGCTTGTGCCACCAGCACGCTCGCATTGAGCTGCCACTCGACATCGCCCTCCTCATCCGCAGACTGCAAGGACTTCTGTCCATAGCTCCGGGCTTCCTCAGCTTGGTTCAGTTCCAGGTAACACTGGCCAATTTCGTGGAACAACCAGGTCTTCTCCAGGCTGGATTTTGCCATTGGAATCTTCTCCTCCCAACTTCAAGAAGAGAAAAAGAGAGTAAGACTTTTACTGAATTAAGTGCTATTACAATTTCAGTTATAATTTCAACTGGAACAAAAGCTTCCAGATGCTACTAGTATGAGAAGTTATTCTACACTGAGAGCTGCTAAGTAGTTAGAAAAAGACCAAGCAGTAAAATCTGGAGAACTCCAGACTGATGCTGGGTTTTAAGACCATTGCTGTCTATATTCCTGGTTGGAATGAGGCTGCAATCAGTCCTCTCTGTAGAGTCAATAGGCAGCAGAAGCAGCTGGTGCTGCTGGTGTGTGCGCAGCAAGGGATGCGCTCAGAGGAGGCAGGGATTTCACAGCTGCCTTTCTCAGTCATCCTTGCTAGAGTCTATTTAGGAAGGATGACTGAGAAAAGAAGAGAAAGCACCTATTTAATTTACCCTTTCTTTATTTTCTGTTACTGATTTTACCTACGTGTCGATAGCTTGCTGGAATTTGCCGATTCTGGCATAAACTCTGCCAATGTTATCAAGGGCTCTGGATATGGCCTCTGGCAAATTGCTGCATTGGAAAGAAAAAGAGATCACAGTAGATTTTCTTCAGTTTTATACATTTTCTATGGCATAAACCCTGCCGATGTTATCAAGGGCTCTGGATATGGCCTCTGGCAAATTGCTGCATCGGAAAGAAAAAGAGATCACAGTAGCTAAAAGTCTTGTACCTGATGCATTCTGCATTTTCTTCAGTTTTATATATTTTCTTTGGTGATCAGTGTGACAGCAGGATAATGAGGAACAGAGGACCAACATCAGACTGAAAGCCATAAAACCAAGGTACGTTTTGGGTTTTTATCTACAACTGTTGCAACTGACACCCTGTAAGAGATGGGGGGAAACAGTTTCGTTTTGCCACCTTATGGCAGCACTTTGTGAAAGTCCTTTCCACTCCTCTTGGTTGCAGCTTTCCTTGGTTGCCTTGTGGATCTGTGACGTGTCCTGTGGCCGAACCCTCCAAGGTCTCAAACACAAACACAAGTCGAGGAGAGGGGCTGCAGGGCACCCATGTCGACAGGGAGCCCGGGATCCCAGTGCTCCAATGCTTTTCCCAGTGCTTTTCCCCTGTGCTAAAGGCAGCTCCTGTTAAAATAATGCAGCCTGCAGAACTTAAAGTCATATCTTACTTATTCCTTATTCCCACGTTCAGCAGTGGACTGCTTTGACTACCCTTATCTTACAAATGAAAAAGCTGATGAAGAAAAACAAATGCACGAGCCTGGGCTGAACTGCAGCCACCAGAGGGCGATTCCCCCCTCCGTTATCTCTGTGTTTCTGCCTCCTAAACACAACCCTGTTTGAAAAAGCAGCAACATTTCGGATCTCCTTCCTGCCTCCCCACTGCTAATTCTTAACCTGGCTTGGCATGGGGGAGTGGAGATCCCCAGGAGAGAGGTAGAAGTGTCTTAACGTTTTTAAAAATATATGTTATTTGTGAAACTGATAAATAACAAGCCAGTTGCACTTTTAACTTTCCATTGCAACCTCAGCCAGAATAAAACCAAAATAACCTATTCCAAACAACTATTCAGGGTTTTCTCATGTGCATTGAAAAATTAGTTTACTAATTTCTATGACTGTTCTACTCCAGGTTGTTTTAGCTGAAAGGCTGCACTAAATTTTCTGTATAAGCAGGTAACTCATGCCTGTTAGATAAATATTTCACATCTACCATTGTGGTTTGAGTGCACATGATTTTAGGAGAAAGCTGTGTAAGAATCAGAGCCTGACCTTTCTGAGAAGGCAGTGCAGATTAAAGTGCTGAGTCTGGGGTTCGTGTTCTTGTTTTGCTTTGCTTAAAAACAGATTTTGACGTGTCATTTGGGACAGGTCCTTTAAAAAACTGCTTCAGTTCCCTTATTTTTAAGCAGGAAGTTACTAGGGCCAATGACACTTGTGCAGCATCTGAATGCATTGCCCTGTGAAATGCCCAGGTGGAAGTTCCATTACCTGATGCTAAAACATCGGAGCAGAGAGACTCTCCTCTGCACGCAGGATTTTTCCCCATCCCCTGGACCTTCTCAGCACTTACTTCTGCCTGGCAAGCTCCAGATCTGTTTGGTGGCTTTGCAGAGCTGCATCCATGCGGCCCATCTCCATCTGGGCGTTCCCCATGCAGTTGTGGAGGTTCCCAACCAGTTCACTCCTGTTGGGCACCTCCTCGTCTGTCCACCCTTGTATTGTCTTCAGCACGTGCTCAGCTTTCTTCAAGCTTTCCTCTGGGGAGCCGCCCGCCAGCACTGGAGATAAAGAGCAGAGTTTATTGCTGGTGTGTGGACACAGCAGTATTTGGGAAGCAGGAATAACAGCAGCTTTGTAGGGCTCGGAAACAGCTTGGGAAGGGTTACTGCTCTTAGCTCTTCATGGGCAGCCTGGTCCTGGAGATGAGGAACTACCTACAGCACTTAGGTTTTATCTCCTCCACTAGTCCCTTGCGCTTCCCTGGGGAGCTGCTGGTTGCATCCAGCTGGTTGCAGCGCTGTGGGGATCAGGCTGCAGGATGGTTCTGGCCTGGCCTGCGCCAAGCTGTTGTAACCAAACTGAACCAAAGGGCAGAAATGGCCCCGTTTCTCTTGCCTGGCCTGGCGGCTTTGAGCGTTGTTCTGAAACGCAGTTAGCAAGACCTCAAATACAGAAAAGGATAAGAAAAACAAAATGCATTGGATTCTATACCAAATACTCCATTGGGAAAGGTGAAGAACTTAAAAACAGATACTTTCAAAAACTGCCTGGTACTGTTTGTTAGTAATTGCACTGTTTTTGTTGTCCTAATCCGTAATCACTACAGCAACTAGTTGCATAAGCCAGTCCTGATTTTCCTACTGCCTCAGGAAGGATACGTACACATATCAATGTCTTCCATGCTCTTCACAATGTATCTGGCAACTTCATCTGGTTTTCGCTTCTTGTCTCGGATCCACCTTTGCTGCCTGAGCTTGCGCTCCCTCACCCGGGCGTAAATAGGTTTCTGCTGCTGCCAGAATTCGGTGCGTGTGTTCAGGTAGGTAATGCCACCCAGAACCAGGTCCTTTACTTTCATGCCCTGCTTGGTGCTGCTCTTCATCAAGTCTGAAAATACAGGATGGTAGAACCCAGGAGGGGGTTAATGTCTGTGCTGAATGAAGTTGCAGTTCAGCGGAGGGAGGGTGCCTGGGAATGCCTGTACCATAGGGAATCCCAGGAGCTCTGCTCCTTGGAACCAGTGTGGCCTTGGGGGAGAGCTTAGGGAAAACCTCTTGTTTGGCCCATGTGTGTGTTAGAGAGCCGGAGCTGCTGTTCCCAGCTCCCAGAGCTGCTGCCTTCCCTGTGGACAGCGGCAAGAAGAGGCCTCCCAGGACGGAGCCGCTCCGTGGGGAGCGCTTTCCCTGGGCAGACCCATTTGGAATTAAATGGCACTTCAACACAATAAAGCGTGGGCTAAATTGCAGTGGAAACCGAGCGGCCTTTTACATGCCTGGAAACCAGATAGCCCACATACAGTGCTACTGTTATTAACAATATAAAAGCTGCCGATAGACTAGATCTTTAATCATTCTTCTGTTACTGGGTAAACCGTTTCCTAGAAAAAACGACTATATGGGAATCACCCCTGTACCAAGTTCAAAAATATGATTCTTGTCTGAATCCCACATCTTAATTTTGACAGCATTTATAATGAAACTGAATAAGTATGATCTTATTAGCAGTGTAGTGTGGTTTTCTTTTCAGAAATGAAATCTTTTGTAATTATAATGTTTCTGCTTATGATTTCATCAGCACAGATTGCTTTGAGCTCATTTGCTGCTAAACTGTCCATTGGAAAAAAAATGCTATTTCATTAGGAAGGAAGCGTGTCACACACAGTCATGAAAATTGGATGTGGCTCCAGAATTACTGTGCTCCAGACATCTCCCTCTCTCAAGACCACTGTATCATTGCATGATATGTGAGCCGTGATGCAAATAGGGAAGAGCAGTCATAGGATATAAAAGAAGGGGGGAAAAGAATGAAGAAACTGCACAGAAGGAACATTTAGTTAAATACATTGGAGAAAGACCTTCATCCTTGAGCAGCTTTTCTAGGAAGGCCTTGTCAGCATAAAGCTCTCCAAGAAGCTGTCGCTCCGTTTGCGGATTCCTCACACGTTCCGGTTTGCTCATCCGCTTTTGGTCCTTGGTCAGTTTGATTTGGAGCTTCTGCTGGGCTTTTCTGCTCTAGAGCAATGCAGAAAATCAAGCAAGTCAGGGCAGACAAGCGGGGAGCATTAGCATTAGGAGGAAAGGCCTGGCTTTTAGAATTCTCCTCACGCTCCATATAGGTCAAACCATTTTTTAAGTAAAACCAGGAAGTCGGGCCAATTGTTTTAGCCATGAGCAATTGAAATTTTGAACCCAAACGGGCTCCCTCACTTGCAGAACAGGAGGGGCATTGCAGGAAGAGCAGAGCGCTGGTGTCTGAGCACAGTGTCTCTCACTGTCCTAGAGGCTTCCCCCTTGTGGGGTGGGCAGGTCTCGTTGTCCCCAAAGAAAAAGAGGTTTTAACAGGCAAGGCCTCTGAGAGTATTTATAAAGCTTCACAGGTAAAAATCCTGCAATTACAGTACCTATCTTTAGTCCCCTTTGTACAAATTACTCTAACCACCGAGTACCCAGAATTGCAGCTGGAAGAAGGGAGCTGTGTGTGCTTGGCGCCGCGGAGGAACAAGGTGCTGCCTCAGGAGACCACCTCTAAATTAAGCAATTGAGAAAGTGCCACTATGAAAAACGTGAACCTTAAACGTCAGGTAAAACCAAAGTAAATAATGGAGATAAATGTATGCTGGCTCTGATCTCAGTGCTGTTACTTATTACCTTTTGTTGGGTGATCTCCCTTTAGGAACAGTCAGGCTGGGAGGGAAATTTGTTTCTCCTTGGTTACTCTTCCCTGCCTTTCTGCATTCTCCTTTATATTTTAAGCAAACAGAGTGAAAAGTCCATTAAAAGCAGGTGCATAAATACTCTCATGAAGGATCAGCGTGCTCCCTGTGCTCAGAATGCTTCGCTAGACCAGCCGTATCCCCGTGCACGTTGCTACAGAAACTATTAATCCTGTAGTGCCTATTTGCAGAAAGCATTAGCATTATAATAACTCTCGTTAGCTACCAAAACAAGAGCTCTTCCACCGTACCTCTGCCTGCCTGCTTAGAAAGCAGATGTCCTCATTATTCTCCAGTTTAACTGAGGAAGGACCTGCAAATATAAACAACATATTTGTTAGTGTTCAGGAACTGCCATACAGAGCTCTAGAAGTGAAAACGGCTGTGAATGTGCCACACCTGCTTCAGATAAAGCTTTCTATTAATTCTTCCATTTGAAATACAAATGGATGTCAGTTCTTTCAGCAGAGATTACAGCTCATTAATGCTGATCTCCTCTGGATTTTAATTATTATTTTCTTATGGCACCGGGGGCTCCCATCACAATGAAAACCCTGACAGACAGATCTACATCCTGCATGGTGGCATGGACAGCAGGATGACATGTTCTTCTAAGGCATTACAGCTAAGATTTAAAATGGGGAAAAAGCTCAGAAGTATCTTCAGCAATACAGAGAGATATTTTAAAGTGTTTTTGCACTGATATAATGGCACAAATCTCATTTCATTTTCATCGTGGCTCCCCTTTCTGCTGTTCAGAATGCATTCTGGCTGTGCAGGAGCAGGGAGAAGCAGCTCTTTATCTTGCCCTGGGCAGAAGGAAATAAAAAAAAGGAGCTTCAAATGCTGCTGTAGCCAACGAGGCAACGGGGCCAGGCTCAGCGGTGTGAGTACGCGGGGAAGGCAGCGGCTTTGGGTCTGCCAAGCAGACCCTGTAAAGCAGCCTGGCAGGTGCCCGGTCAACATATGTGCATTTCCCAACCTTTTAAACATCCAGATCCAATGCCAATAGATTCCTCTTTTTTTAAAGTTTGTTTTTCTTTTGTTGTTGGTGGTTGGTTGGTTTCCCCTCCCTGTCTCTAGGAGCTGTAGCCTCATTAAAAACAGCTTGTTTTTTACCTCTTCACTCCTCTACAGCCCAGATGCTCAAAGCTCAAAATATGAAGCCCTGCGAGCATTTTCACTGCGAATTGCAATTATATCTAGATATTGGGATTATGCCAAGAAAGCAGCAGCAATGGAGGAAAGAAGCCTAATCTGGCACCTCCCGTCTGCTTTCCCAAAGAATATCACATAGGAAAAAGCTTCAGGCTTTGCTGTAACCGTGATATGAAGTTAATCCGATGCACTGGGGGAGGACTGAAATGTTGAAACTGAAATGTGAAATGATTTCACCGGGAGGGAGGCACCTAAACAGCCCGCGGCGCCGGCCCACGCGCGGGTGTGCGGCAGGGTGTATCCCGGTGCGCGGGACGGGCGGGAAGGCGCAGGGATAGGCGGGAAGGGCTCCGGACCGGCCCGGCGGGATCGGCAGCCCCTTGGTGCAGGCGCCGGGGGCGTTTGGGGCAGGCGGCAGCCC